AAAAGAACCATTTCCATTTCCAAGAAGGACACTCACATCATTGCTATCCCTATTGGCGACAACGATATCTAGTCGAGTGTCGTTGTTGAAATCACCAACAACTACAGATGCTGGATAAGAACCAGCTGAATACCTTCTTTGATTTTCAAAAGAACCATGATTGTACGCAACAAAGATATCCACATGATTACTTCCACCGTTAGCAATCACGATCTCTGATCGTTTGTCATTATTAAAATCACCAGAAGCCATAACTAATGGAGGCGAATCAAAACCAATTTTATAACTTGTTTGAATTGCAAATTTTCCCTTCCCATTTCCAAGCATCATATCTGCATGCTTGGTACCATTATTGCCTAAAGCAATATCCAGTACACGGTCACCATTAAAGTCCCCAACCGCGACGGAAATCGGATGAGAATTCGCGCCAGTGCTGAGCATCATTTGGTTTTCAAAACTACCATTTCCATATCCGACAAGGACGCCGATATTATTAGTGCCATAATTAGCTAAGACAATATCCAGATTAGTATCGTCGTTAAAATCCCCAATCACTAAGCATTGTAGGCTAGATCCACCTCCAGATGCATACGCCATTTTATATGCTATCGCTCCTCTATTATATTGCAGTAGGACACTCACATCATTGCTACCCGAATTGGCGACAACGATATCTAGTCGAGTGTCGTTGTTGAAATCACCAACAACTACAGATTGTGGCCCAGAGCCAGCTGAATACATTGTTTGATTTTCAAAAGAACCATTTCCATGTCCAAGAAGAACACTCACATCATTGCTCCGAGAATTGGCAACAACGATATCTAGTCGAGTGTCGTTGTTGAAATCACCAACAATTACAGATGCTGGATAAGAGCCAGCTCCATACCTTGTTTGATATTCAAAAGAACCATTTCCATTTCCAAGAAGAACACTCACATCATTGCTATAATAATTAGCGACAACGATATCTAGTCGAGTGTCGTTGTTGAAATCACCAACAACTACAGATGCTGGAAAAGAGCCAGCTGAATACCTTCTTTGATTTTCAAAAGAACCATTTCCATTTCCAAGAAGGACACTCACATCATTGCTATACCAATTGGCGACAACGATATCTAGTCGAGTGTCGTTGTTGAAATCACCAATAGCTACACATCGTGGCCAAAAGCCAGCTAAATACCTTGTTTGATTTCCAAAAGAACCATTTCTATTTCCAAGAAGAACACTCACATCATTGCTATAATAATTGGCGACAATGATATCTAGGCGAGTGTCGTTGTTGAAATCACCAACAACTACGGATGCTGGAGAAGAGCCAGTTGAATACCTTGTTTGATTTTCAAAAGAACCATTTCCATTTCCAAGAAGAACACTCACATCATTGCTATAATAATTGGCGACAATGATATCTAATTGAATGTCGTTGTTGAAATCACCAACAACTACAGATCGTGACCCAGAGCCAGCTGAATACCTTGTTTGATTTTCAAAAGAACCATTTCCATTTCCAAGAAGGACACTCACATCATTGCTATTCGTATTGGCGACAACGATATCTAGTCGAGTGTCGTTGTTGAAATCACCAACAGCTACAGATGCTGAAAAAGAGCCAGCTGAATACGTTGTTTGGTTTAAAAAACCCTCAAAATAACCAAGGAGAATATCTATGCTACCAGTATCATTGTTGACGATCACAATATCTAATCGATGATCCTTATTGAGATCACCTATGGCAACAGAAATCGAAGAATAAGATCCAGTTGAATACATAATTGGATTTTCAAAATGACCGTTTTCATATCCAAGAAGTACACCTATATTTTCAATGCCATTATTAGTGATGACGATGTCTAATCGATTATCTTGGTTGAAATCTCCGACGGCAATTGCATATGGAGAAGCAGAACCGCTGGAATAGGTGGCTTGATTAGCGAAAGTTCCATTACCGTTGTTTGAGAGTACACCAATTTTGCGAGTTCCGGAATTCGCGATAGCGATATCCAGAAAATTATCGGTATGGAAATGACCGACCGCAATTGAGTATGGATGGGAACTAAGTCCAGTTGAAAACGTGATTTGTTTGTCAAAAGTTTTATTACTATTTCCAAATAGTACGCCAACATTATTCGTGCCATAATTGGCGATGGCGAGATCTAAATAGTTGTCGTTATTGAAATCTCCAGCAGCTAATGAGGATGGAAGAGAATCATAACCTGTTGAATATGTAATTGGAGGCGAAAAATTTCCTTGACCATATCCATAGAATATACTAATACTGTGAGTTCCGTAATTCGCAGTGGCAATATCAAGTAGTGAGTCATTGTTGAAATCAACGGCAATAATTGCTATCGGACGAGATGAGCCTGTTGAAAGTTCTATTTGACTTGCAAAAGATCCATTCTCAAATCCATAAAAGATTCCGACATTGTTAGTGCCGAAATTCGCTACTGCAATATCCAATCGGTTGTCATTGTTGAAATCAGCAACTGTGACCATGTATGGGCTAGAGTAGGAACCTGTTGAATATATGATTGGATTTCGAAAACTGCCATCGCCTTTTCCCAAATACACCGCTATGTTGTTGGCTATATGATTGGCAATAACCATATCCAAAACGGAGTCATTATCGAAATCGCCGATGGCGACAGATCGTGGACCATGCTTATATTCAATTGGCTTTTGAGCTGTTGGTTTGAAATTGAGACCGCACTTTGAAACTAAACGATACATGAAAAAGAACGGGATGACTGATTGTTTGCTCCAGTAGGAGTATTCGTCCTAGATGGTTTTGAGTTATCACAATTATTATCGTATGCTGTCAGAAGTTCTCATATGGCTCTATTTAGACGCAGTATATAATCATCATCTTTCAAAAGAACTCTACTTAGTTTCTTTGAATACAGATAAAGTTAAATATGGAAATTCATCAATCAACCCACTTGTCTGTTCTCATATTCTCATGTACTGTAGAATTCGTTCCAAAACTGTGCTGTGCCACACTATTGCAGAATCAAACGGATATCAAAACTGTACTGTTGTGTAATACTCTCAGGGATCCGATCAATATTTTGGAGTAGTAATTTAGAATAACAAACAGAATATAACAAAGTCTGCTACGAATGCTTGAGAATAAAAATGAACAAAATTATGCCGCTCAAGAAGCGAACGTGAATCTACTGACTGATTAACCATGCATGAAGACGATCTACTATAGTTAGTGTATTTGTCAGTAATTCCGTCATATGGACAACGCATGTTCACTCATAGTTTTTGCGTGACAAGCATGCAACTATTTATCTCTACTGCTTTTCGTACAGTGAGCAATCAATGATTTCTATCGATTTGTTTAATCACAAAGAGGGATAAATATTTTTCTCAGTTTTATAATGTATATACAAAATTTTACTGTTTTGAACCATGGTAACGAAAATAATTCGCTAGGATATGATAAAGATATGAGGACTCAGTGATGAATATAACGTAGAACACATATAAGTCATACAAAAAGACAAAAGTAAAACGATTGTATGGGAGCATACTAGAAGAACGAAAGAAGATGTAGATGAAACACATATACTACTTACTCTTGTCTGCAAGCAATATAAAGTGAGAAAAATCGCCTGTATTTTCTATTATTCTTTCGCACTTCTACTATATCACAAAATAAGTTGATGACATAGAGAAAGAGGCATCCAGGATAAGCTGCTGTTTCCATTCAGAGACGTGAAAGAATACTTCCAAAAATAAGAGAAACAGTGATTCAAGAACATTGAATTCGATAAGATTGATCTTTCTGCAACAAGTAACAATGTGTAACATCAACTTGTAAAAAATCAGATTGTGAAATATCTGTTGTGTCGGTGTATGAAAGAAAAATATAGAAAACGCAATAATCTCTATTCTAGAGAAACTTATTATTCTACTTTCTTTAGAACAAAGTAGTAATGGGAAGATTCTTTCTGGAATTCTTTTCTAATCTATAGTCACTGCCAATAAGTAAAATGAAAGGATCCGATTTATGGAAAAAGCATTAGATCTTTTAATGATGATCACCTCGATTGGCTTGCATTCGTCATTGCTACTTTAAAATGGAAAAGTGAAGTCGTTGTAATGTTTATTATTCTTTTCTTGCTTGATAATTTGTTTCGAACATGTCGATATCAAATATCTTATTACAATTCAAATTTTTTTAACCCAAACTCACAATATTGATAAAACAGAACCAAATTCACTATGGATTTTTATCGTATTGAATACGAAGAATACAGAGCAACAAATACCTACCTGAAGATTTCGGTGCAGTAAAACAAACTACCAGCAACCCCATGATCGTAACTATACTTGTAATCATAGGCAATACAAAGATAGGCTTGGGTATAAAACCCAGCATTGACCAGTAGAAATATTTCCTAGGAAAGAGCAACAACGATAATATTTTACATTAAAAGAATAAGTCATACATATTCTGTTGAAATGTGTAATTTTTTATTCGATTGATAGTTTTGTGCTGAACGTCTCTTGCATTTTGTGCATTTGCTATTGCCTTTGGCTTGTTGTTTGAACCGACTAACCCATTTTTCTTTGAAAATGAGGATTTAGTTAATTCAGCACTGTTGTTCATGCTAACCATTTCAATCTAAGAAGAGACAGTAGGTAAGGAAGAACACATACCTGACAAGAGCATATAAATATATATCTAATCATGGAGAGTTTCTACAGAAAACTATGCCTGCAGTATTTCTACTAAATCCACTCAGTCGATATATGTATAAGGATACAACTTTTCTATGCTATTTCAACAATTTTTCAACTATTAAATAAATGTATTTGATAAGTTGAGGAGACTGCACAAAATATCTAACGATAAAGTTATACCCGATCAAAACACTGCACATACTGCAGCATATTAAAACGGTTATCAAAGCTATCGCTTATTTAGTTTTTGTTGATTTTTTATCAAAACTAATACGCATTATCTTTTCTATTTTCAATTCTCTTGAATAAATACTTTCAGATGAAAGACTTTCAACATGTTTTCTAGCAATATTTTTTAAAACAGTCTCTTGCACAAGTTCAGATCCGTCAAACCTTGATCAAGGCACGACAATCACCATTTTTAGAATTGTTACTTGGAGAAGTAAAATTTTCGTAGAATTTCTATATATAAAAGGCATATCGAAGTTATTTCGTCCTCTTTTCAACATTTAAAAAAAGTTATCGAAATGAGATTAATTTTGGAAGAAAAGTATATTTAAGTATTCCCACGTACAAAGTTTTTCTTCGTGGGGAAATGTGAGATTTTATTTGGGCTTATTACAGAAGACTACGAATATTGTCTATGCACGCTATGTCCGATTTTGTCTATGTTTGAACAGATTCGGACGAAATACGTTTGTTCGACATCAGAAAATTATGAACTGATAACTTTTTGACGAAACTATGCCTCTTTGAGATGAAATAGTCAATGACAATTTCTGTTTCTTCACCTCTCTTCTTGAATTGCGATTATTTTGGATACTCTGTTCAATAACATTAAGGTAGCAGTAAAATCAAATGATCGAGTTTATAGTTTCAATAATGTCTATAAATAGACATCAATGACAACGGTTAGTGGGAAAAGTATAGGTCATATCAATTGGTACATCGAGAGAAAAGAGATGATCACCTTCAAACGTATGAAAAACTTTTATTCTGGTATCCGCCATGTTTGAACTGACATCCGAAAAAATTTGTCAAGTGTCAGCAAGAAACAGCTCGATTCCTTACTGTTATCGGTACTACGACTAACATTTAAAATATATCGATAGTGTCTCCAGCTGTAATGGGCGAACATTGCATAAGTTATGACATCTGAAAAAGCCTCATCAATTAGGTTTTCTAGATCGGCAAATTACTCTTCTCTCCCCTGTATATATCTTTTCGAATAATATCGAAATATTGCTTTAGCTATTTTTCCGGGAGGCCTTGATTGACAATATATCAATTGGTTTCTTTCTGTTTGGCTGCATCTTCGGAAAAACTTATGCTTTTATTAAATCTACGACAACAGCTCATTCTCAGCAATGAAAACGTAGTTTTTTTGCTGTTTAAGAATCCTGCTGTTATGTATGAATCTATTCTATGAGATTCTATAGGGTTTTCGAATAGCTTGCATGTCATTCGATCATTTAAATCTATTATCATATAACGCTTGTAAGGGTTACTGATTCACCTCTTTTTCTGTCATGCTTTATGATAAAAAGAATTAGCTGTTATTTGACTGTTGGAAAAATCATTTTCAGTTTTTTTCCGTCATTTTTATGAAATGAAAGCATACCCTAGTGTAACATCTTGTAACCAAGATCTTGGCCAAGATACAAGGTACAGAAATGTTAACAGATCTTGAAAATTTAGCTACAGATATTAATATCATTATCTTGTGTCAAGATCTATAATCAGATCTTAGGTACAGATCTATAAGATCTTAACTGAAATATCAGTGCTCACAAATGATCACCAAAAGTCGCTTATGGATGACTCTAACTACTAACGAGATAGTCAATCCGAAGTAAAATTTGATGCTGAATATGAATCTGAAGTCAGATCGCTGCTGAAAACACAAGGAGTCAAGTTAGAGACCAATGGTCAGTTCAAAAATCGTTCAAACTCTTCTTCCTCACGAATACCCTTCAATGAAGATCATGTTTTCTTAAACGATTCGGGACGAGCTAGCTCCAAGCAGTAGCAAAATCATCCGCAACAGTTGCTGCCAAGTCAAGATCTTGGTGCAAGATGATAACGTTATTATCTTGTACCTAAATTATCAAGAACTGTTAACATTTCTGTACCTTGTATCTTGGCCAAGGTCTTGCCACAAGATATTAAGATCTTGGTACAAGATCCAAGATCTTGCTTACCGTAGCTTCTCAAAAGAGATACTTTTTAAAAAAAACATTCAGCTATTTAAGTATTTGTATAGCTATTTAAGTTGCCTATAGCTACTTAACTGTTTGCATAGCTATTTAAGTATTTGCATAGCTATTTAAGATTTACATAGCTATTTAAGTTTTCTATAGCCATTTAAGCTTTTCACAGCTATTTAACTACTTTCATAGCTATTTAAGCTTTCCATAACTATTTAAATACTTTCGTCGCTATTTAACTATTTCCATAGCTATTGAAGGTTTCCATAACCGATCACTAATGATGCCAAATTTTCACTTTGAGAACTTTCTGGAACATAATTAGTCATTGAAGTTCATGTAACACTAGTTCCTGGTCGATGAACAATAATTATATTTATACAGAATGGTAGGGTGGGTAGCCGTGGGCATGGATGTGGAGCGTGACTGTAGTATTGATTAACCATCCACGCACCCAAACTCGCATTCACCCGACGCCCAAGCCGTTTTCACCCTTCATCCCCCCCCCCCCCCCCCCCCCCCCCCCCCCCCCCCCCCC